TGACTTCAGCTCAGGTCATGATCTCGCAGTTCGTGAATTCAAGCTCCGTGTCGGGTTCTGTGCTGACAGGTCAAATCCTGGAGCCTGCTTCAGATTCTGTGTCTCCCTCTCTATCTGCTGCTTCCCCATTTGCGCTGTTTGTCTCTCTCAAAAATAAATAAACATTAAAAAAATTTTTTTAAATAATCTTTTTCTTCTTTTTAGAGTGAGTTCTGTACATGATACATTTTTACCCCTAAATACTTTAGTGTGCATTTTCAAAAATCAAGGGGAGTCCCTTATGTAACCAAAGGACAATGATTAAAATCAGGAAATGAACATTGATATAATGCTGTTATCTAAGACTTTATTAAAATTTCATCAGTTGACTTAATAATGCCTTTTTTGGGTATTCTCCACCCCCTCCAAATTTTTAGTATAGGACTCAATCCAGTACCTATCACACATTGTGTTTAGTTGCTGTGTCTCTTTAAATTTCCTTAAACTGAAATAATTTCTCAACTTTTTATCATCTTTCATGACCCTAACATTTTTTTAAATGTTTATTTTCGAGTGTGCCTGCATGCACGTGCAGGTGGGGGAGGGGCAGAGAGAGAGGGACACAGAGTATCCAAAGTGGACTCTGCACTGACAGCAGAGATCCCCATGAGGGGCTTAAGTTCATGGAATGTGAGATCATGACCTCATCCAATGTCAGATGCTTAGCCAACTGAGCAAACCCAGGCGCCCCAACCCCACTCCTAACGTTTTGAAGAGTGCAGGTCATTTATTTTGTAGGCTATTCTTTTCTTTGTGTTTATCTGAGGTTTTTTCATGATTAGATATAGGTTACACATTTTTGGCAGGAATACCACAGAAATGATTGTGTGTCTTCAGCACATGATATCAGGAAGCATGTGATGTTGATTTGTCCCATTACTGGTGATAACTTGTATTGCTTGTTGCTCTTTTCCCCTTTGTAATTACTACGCATGTTGTGGGGGGATACTTGGAGACCATGTAAATATCTTGTTTTACATCACACTTTCACCAACTAGTTTTTTAGCAACTAGTGTTGATTCTTGACTGAATTAATTATTAGTATGACTATTGCCAAAAGGTGATTATCTATTTCTGTTGTTCCTTTTACATTTTAAAATTTCTATTCTATGCCCTCCTCTCTTCCTTTTTTAAAAGTTATTTATTGGGGTGCCTGGGTGGCTCAGTCGGTTGGGCATACAACTTTGGCTCAGGTCATGATCTTGCGTTTGTGAGTTTGAGCCCCACGTTGGACTCTGTGCTGAGAGTTCAGAGCCTGGAGCCTGCTTTGGATTCTGTGTCTCCCTCTCTCTCTGCCCCTCCCTCACTTATGGTCTCTCTCTCTCTCTCTCTCAAAAATAAATAAACATTAAAAATTTTTTTTAAATAAAGTTATTTATTTATTTGAGAGAGAGAGCAAGTGGGAGAGGGGCAGAAAGAGAGGGAGAGAGAGAATCCCAAGCAGGCTCCCTGCTGTCAGTGTAGAGCCTGATGCGAGGCTCAGTCTCAAAAACTGTGGGATCGTGACCTGAGCCAAAACCAAGGATTGGACGCTTAACTGACTAAGCATCCCACGTGTCCCCTTTCTTCATTCTTTATGTCAGTATGGACTTATGGATTCTTATGTTAACGGTTTGTAAGTTGTTACTGTCTTTATTTTGATGTCAGAATTTCTCAAGGGGCTATTGAGAGCCCCTTCAAGCTGGTATCTATGTCATTTTAATATGTCCCACCATTCTTTGAGTGCTTTCTTATTTCTTAACAAAATGAGATATTTCAGGTTCATCTTGCCTTTGCCAGCCCTAACCCTGGAATCAGCCATTTCTCCAAGGAGTCCTGCTTCCTTTAGGTAGAGAATGCTATTTAGAAACCAAGATCTACATATAAGCATGCTCATTATTATTGGGGTGTCATTGTTTCTAGGCCTGCTCAGCAGATAGAGCTAGAAAAACACATACTTACAAACGCATAATGCACACACACATACAGGCACACCCCAGTGTTACACACATGCATATTTATATGTATACACATATATGTGTATAGATGTGTGTATCATTATATTCACATAAATGTATCACAAAGGTAGACCAATATATTTATCTATCAATTTTTCTCTCTCACACACAGACATAACTGTGAATTCATATGTATCTGTCTCCATTTGGTTCCAAACCAACACCACAGGTCTCATTCTAACTTTTCTCGTTTCCATATTTGTAACTTCCTTCCCTAAGACTGAGAAACCTACTTTATGTTATTGCTCAGTTCTAGCATGTAGAGATGAGTAGGTTTAGAATTGCTGAGTCAATGCTACTAGAAAAATTCCACAAACCTACTAACTGGAGTTCAGTGTTTATTTATGGTTCCTTTTGTCTTTAGCCTGCACATTTGTCTATAGTCCAAATACTGTGTTCAGGAAATACTTGTGTGTGTTCTTCCCATTCTCCCCCTTCAGTGCTGTTTCACGGTGTATTCAACTAGTCTCCCACATATGGGCATTTAGCTTGTTTGCAGTATTTTGCTATTACTTCTTTGTTCAATTCTGTCTCCATCTTTGTTGTGTGTCCTATTCCTGACAGCATACCCAAGAGGACTTACAGCAACTGAGGTCAGACTTGGATACTGTTTCCACGAAATGCAACAGCTTTCTCCATCAGTCTCCATCTGGTTCGAGTGTCCCAACTCTGCGCTCAGAACTCAATCTGCTGGTGGAGAAAATGGACCATGTGTATGGTCTCTCCACAGTCTATCTGAATAAGTGAGTAGGCTGCAGGTTTGGATCCAGAGGGCAATGGTTTCACTGGAATGAGAAGGGGAAGTGCCTGGAGTGTTTCACAAACAATCCAGAGAGGTTGCAGATCTTGAAGAGCATGTACCCATGAAGAGAGACCTTGGCTTTCACTCCAAGTAACTGGAGTGGGTTCCTTGGGGTGCAGCAAACAAATGTCAGTGATACAGAAAGAGAGATGGATTTGCATTGTTAGGAGTATTTCTCTTTGATTAGATAGCTCTGAAAAAAAGAAGGGACACTACACAATGAAAATTTAAAATTTTCAGTTAAGCTAAATACAGTCTTTGAAGATTTTCCCTCTATCCATCCATGACCTTGAGGAGTCACAGATCTTAGACTCTTCATAGTGTTGAGCGGGTTTCTGGCCTTATGTCATTTCTCCCATGAGTCCACCACATGTGTGTGTGTCCCAGTGTCACCTAGAACTTTATTTTGAATTGGCTGAAATTGGCAGCACATATATCATGCTTTCTTATTTTTATAAAACCCTGTCATCATCTAGTAATGGTAAAACTGATTTTAGCAGTACATCTTGTGAACCTCTCTATAGTGCTCCAAGTCTGTGGCCAAGCTCTTAAAATGTGTGTGTTAACGAAGGTGACCTTCCCCTCACAGGCTAAAGACAATCGATGTTATAGTGCGTAGCATCCAGGATGCTGAACTCTTGGTTAAAGGTTATGAAATCAAGCTGAGTCAAGAAGAAGCAGTACCAGCAGATCTCTCTGCTCTGGAGTCTCATCGGTCTACGTTACGGGTTGGTTGCTCTGAGTTTCGTAGGAGCTTGACTTAACATATCCATTGCTTTGGGTTAGCAGAGAAATGCAATTTTGGACAGCATGACAGTGATTTAAATTTGCATTTAAACTGGGCAGGATATGGGGCGCCTGGGTGGCGCAGTCGGTTAAGCGTCCGACTTCAGCCAGGTCACAATCTCGTGGTCCGTGAGTTCGAGCCCCGCGTCGGGCTCTGGGCTGATGGCTCAGAGCCTGGAGCCTGTTTCCGATTCTGTGTCTCCCTCTCTCTCTGCCCCTCGCCCGTTCATGCTCTGTCTCTCTCTGTCCCAAAAATAAATAAACGTTGAAAAAAAAAATTTTTTTTTTAAAATAAATAAAAAAATAAAAAAACTGGGCAGGATAGCATATTTAATATATTTTAATGTGGATCCAAAGAAGTTGGGACTGAGAAAAATATCTAGCTGGAAAGGGAAATAAATGACTGCCTTTCTGTTTTATTTTCTGTGATTTCCGTAAAATCACAGCTAAATCAGATACAATCAGTAGTTACACTTCTAAATTAGATAGCCAAGTTTCAAACACTAATTCTTTGCACATCTCTGTAATGTACTGCCTGCCCTTGGCCTCCCTGTGTGCATGAGGACTGTGGAGGCATTTCTAGCGCAAACATTATAGAGTTTGGCTTGTGAATCCCAGATACAACGCAGAGCCAGTTATAGGCTATGTTCTTGTTTGCTACCTTAGTCTGAGTCCTTTTTGGCATAGAATATATTTAACCTGTTGCTGTACTTGTCCTTTTATAGCACTGGCTTAGTGACGTGAAGGACAAGAATTCAGTGTTTACAGTCCTGGATGAGGAAATTGCCAAGGCCAAGGCAGTGGCAGAACAACTGAGTCGTCTGACTCCAGAGCGAAGCCTGGATTTGGAGCGCTGTCAGGAGAAAGGCTCCCAGCTGCGGGAACGTTGGCACCGGGTCATTGTCCAGCTCGAGACCCGGTGAGTGGTGGCCTCACCCTTTTCTCCTATTAGGATTCAGGGACTAGGTTTTAAACAGAAAGCTGTACATTCTTATTTAAAGGCAGGATGTGATAGAGAAGGGTACAGATTAAATGAATTCTGGACAAGATGAATGACAAAATTAGGACCATCAACCCCAAAGCAGACCTGAGGCTGCATTTGGTGAAGCAGTGATGGTCCTGTTAGCGATGCTTCTCCTGTACCAGTTTTTATCTAGTTAAGCCATGACGACAGTGATGTTTTGGGATATAAACTGGAAGGGTGATAATCGTTTCTCAAGGCTAGATCTTGAGTTCTGGTTCTTGTTTTATTAGTTTTGAATCCAACTATGAGCCATTTTTCATAGTGGAGCTTTGCAGAATTTCTTGCTTCCACTTTCATTTGCTAATTCAGTGGTTTTTATTTCTTTTACTTGAAGTCCTGCTTCTGATGTCTGATTTAAATAGGAAAGACAAAATTACCTTACTGAGGCTAGGCTGGATAGGCAAATACAGAGAGGGAGGAGTTATAGTAACTCAAAAGTTTGGATTGATACTCTGTAATTGAATTACTATCCCAAGTCTGGTTGGACTCACAAAAGTGATATAAGAAACTGTTCCTGAAATTAACTGAAAGTTAGTATTTTCACCCATCTTTCCCCAAGAATTTATAGCGATTCCTAAATCATAACTGTGGTACTCCAACGGGTACTCTGTCATCAGGAGACAGAAGTGTACAGCCAGCACTATCTTATTGGCAATCCTGGTGATCCTTGGCAGCCTAGGTAAAAAAAATTGACAAGGATCATCATGGGATGCCAGGCTCCAAAGCAGTGTCCAGGGCTAGCATGCAAAACTGGTTTCTACTTACTTTCACCCCACAGGGCACTGTTTACGTGCATAGGTCTCCATTGGCATTGTACTACTGTTTCCCCAAAATAGACAAATCCTCTGTGATCAAGCCCAACTGGAAGAATGGGATAAGGAGGGAATTGCCCCATTTACTTTATTGTGTTTATACCAAGGTGTCTAATGGCAGTTTCTTTCCCTATGCTCCTCCAGCCAATCTGAGCTAGAAAGTATTCAGGAAGTTCTGGGAGATTACAGAGCCTGCCATGGAACTCTCATCAAATGGATTGAGGAAACCACTGCCCAGCAGGAAATGATGAAGCCAGGCCAGGCAGAGGATAGCAGAGTGCTGTCGGAGCAGCTTAGCCAGCAGACGGTGGGTGTAGCAGTAGCATGGTGAAAGTTGTGTGCGGGGCCGGGGGGTGGGGAGGAGTTAGTTCATCATGGAAGGAGGTGAAAAGCTAGCAATTAAGCTTCCCCCAAATAGCAAGGTATTCTGAGACTCCTCTTCTGAAAATAGTTCAAGCAAGATGGTCTCAAGATGATACTGGTTTTGCACTTAGGCCAGACAGACTTGTAAGGTCCCTTTGAAACCTGAGTTTCAGAGACTATATATTGAAACCATAGGTGGACAGATTAAAATTATCTTGCCTCATTTTGTTTCTTGATACTGCATTTGATTTTACTAGGATTAGAACATGGGGCATGGAAAACCAGGAAAGATGTAACTGGACAAAAATTATTCAAAGTGGTTTTTACTTGTTAGTGTTTTGTTGTTTATCTTGTTTAACATCACAGTTTAGAGTATGAAGTCTGGTGTTAAATTGCTTGGATTCCAGTCCTGGCTCACTCACTCACTATAAGACCTTGACCAAATTACTTAACTTCTCAGCATTCTACTTCCTCATCAATAAAATGGACATAGTCCATTATTTGTTTAACCTATCTCACTCATAAAGTTATTGTTGTTAAGGTTAAATGAAGGGATACATGTAAAATTTGCAGAGCAGGGTTTTTGAAGTGTGGAGTCCAGACTAGAAGCATCAGCATTACTGAGGGCATGTTAGAAATGCAAGTTCTCAGACTTACCCAGACCTACCAAATCAGAAACTCTGGAGGTGGCCTGGCAAGACAGTGATTGCCTCACAGGTGATTCTGATGTCGCTAAGGTTTGAAATCTGCCTTAGAACATAATAAATGATCAGCTGTTTTGATGACAATACGGACAATGGTAATGTTGTGATACTTTGGTTTCCAGGATCTGTTTGCAGAAATTGAGAAGAATCAGACAAAGCTGGACCAGTGTCAAAAATTTTCCCAGCAATACTCCACTATTGTAAAGGTAACTCTACCATATCCCCAAAGGCATATAAATGATCTCTAGCAGAGAAAGATCTCCCTTGTCACTGTCGGGTTTGCTTTTGGACAAGTAAGCGCTTCTGTGGGGGGGGCTGGCCCAATCCTCCAGTTAATGCACATGTGTACTTTTCATGGTCCTACATTTGAGGATGCTCAGAGTAGTACCAGACATCAGCTCTGATTCAAGGAATCACACTTTAGATGATCCACAGGTTTTTTTTAAACTTGCCATGTCAGAAACAGAATGTTTTGGATTTCCTCTCACATGTACTTCTCAGGTCTTGCCTATTTCAGGAGTGTCCCATTTTCCCACTTGCTGAAGCAAAAAACCCAAGAGTTACCCTTAAATCTTCTCTTTACCTTAAACTTTATGCTCTGTCTGTGAACAGCTTGGCTTCATCTTCCAGTATGTCCTTGATCTATCTCTTGTTACCCACCCACCTGTCCCCATTTCCCTGTTTCACATCTGAGTGAGGAATCTTCCTTAGACTCTTCTAATCCTCTGAGCTGATCTCTTGCTCAGCCTGCCCCATAGGCTATTTTCGCACGTAGTAGCTACACCCACCTTTTTAGAGCATACTGCATGTCACCGAATCTCAGACATTGTCAGTTATAAGCCACACCATTATCTTATACACTACCAAAAAAGAAGAAATTCTGCTAATTTTGCAAATACCATTGATTGTAAGACACATTCTAATTTTAGAGATACTAAAATGTGGGGGAGATGTGCACCTTACAATAGCTCAAGTATGGTAAATTGGATCACGTCAGTCACCTGCTTAAAACTGTCTAGTGACTTCATATCATACTCATAATAAAAATATAAAGCCATGTATAGTTTATGAGGCCATGCATGATCTGGTCCCCCTTCCCTATTTCTCTGATAACGTCTCTAAATAAAAATGACCTGAGATTATTATATATTTATTTGTTTATTGTGTTCCTTCCCACTAGAATGTAAGTTCCAAGGGAGCAAGGTTTTTTCTAACGTGTTCTCCACTATGCATATAGCACTCAGAACAATGATAGGTAATAGTAGTTGCTCAACAAATATTCTATGAATGAACCCATTTCTTTAGTTAATAACTAAAGACTTGGTATCACAAAGAATTGAGTTTAAATCCTAGCTTCACCATTTTCTAGGCTTAAAACTTTATGCAAGTACTTAGCCTCTCTGGGTGCCTGTTGCTAAATCTACAAAATGGAATCAGTACTTCACTGAATGGTTATAAAGATTACCTGGGATAGTGTATACATAGGACATTGCCTCAAACTTAAGATATATTCAGTAAATGGTAGCACCTGCTTTTATTATTGTTACCATTTTATTACTACTAATATTGTACTATTATAGTAGTAGTAATAGTAATAATTTTTTTTTTTTTACTGCTGCTCTAGACTGCTTAAGGAACTCATTCCGTGTTTTTTTCTTGCCTAGAGTTTTCTAAGTAGACAACAAAAAGCAGGGCATTCCAGTCCAAGGGAACTGCATAGTCAAAGGCACAGAGGAATGGAAATATAATGATTATAGGAGGAAATAGCAAATAATTCTGACATAGCTAGATGGTGTGTGGTACATAAGAAGCAGTGACTGTGGAAAATGAGAAGGGAAAGTTGAGGCCAGCCTATGAAAGGCCTTGTTCAGTTCTCTTGGCTTTACTTTCTATTCTTGTTCCTCAAAATGGGGTGTTAGAATCAGGAGCATCAGTATCATTGGGGAGCTTGTCAGAAATGCAGAATCTTTAACCTGCCAAATCAGGATCTCAGTTTCAACAAGATCCCCAAGGTGATTTATGTGCATGTTGCTATTTGAGAAGCTCTGCTCTAGATCATTAAAAGCTTTCAAACAGAGGAATGAAGTGATCATCATTGTGTTTTAGAAAAGCTATTCTGGTGGCAGGATAGAAAAGAAATTGAGAAGAGAGTAAAGGCAGGAGAGTAATAAGAGGCTCCCTGGCACCCATCCGTATGTGATAGGAAGGGGTCCTGGATGAGGACAGCACTCTCAGGATGGCAGAGGCGATGTCAGCATAGCACAGCAACATGAGAAGAGCATCGGTTTAGGATCTCTCTGTTGCTCACCCACTGAGTAGTCAGGGAGACGCACTTCCTGTCTCTAGGCCTCAGGTTCCCAATGTATGAGAGGATGAGGATGGTCAGCAAACTATGACCCACAGGCTAAATTGAGCCTGCACATTATCTTTCCGTGGCCCATGAGAAATAGCAAGAAAAACCCCAAAAACCAAAGAAGAAGAATACTTCATGACACATGAAAATTCTATGAACTTCAGCTTTCAAGTGTCCATCCATGATGGTTTATGATAACACCATCACACCCTTTCATTTACTGATTGTCTCCAGTTGTCCTCCCTTACAGTGGCAGAGTTGAGCAGTTAGGACAGAGCGTATGGCCTGATAGTTTCCACCTGGCCCTTTAAGCAAAAAAGTTTGCTAATCACTGGTTTAAATGATCACCAAAGTGCCTTCCAGCAATGAAATACTATGATTCTGTTCCATGAGTTATGTTGCATGAGTATGTGTAAATGTGGTGAAATGTCTTCCTCTCCCAGGACTATGAATTGCAACTGATGACATACAAGGCATTTGTGGAATCACAGCAGAAATCCCCTGGCAAGCGCCGTCGCATGCTTTCCTCCTCAGATGCCATCACGCAAGAGGTGAAAGGGTGGGGAAAGGACATGCCACTGTCTTCCCTTAAGGAAAGATTTGTTTGTTGGGGCCCTGACAGTTTGATTTAGGGTTCACCTTTCTGTTGAGCATGTGATTTCATGAAAACTTCCTCTCATTTTCAACTATTTAAATATACTTTTCCGGCAGATAATTTATCTAAATTGTTTTTCTGAACCATAGTTCATGGACTTGAGGACTCGCTACACAGCTCTGGTGACCTTAACAACTCAGCATGTAAAATACATCAGTGATGCGCTCCGGCGACTAGAGGAGGAAGAGGTGAGGATGGTTGGGTCCTAAATCATTTTGAAAATAGAATTAAAAATCCTGTGTTTCCTCTTGCAAAATTTAAAGTGCACACACAGCCAATTTTCATTATTCACAGTAGTCATGTTTTGTGAAGTTACTATGCACACCACATTAGGGAATACTGCACTCTTACACTTAGGGGAAATACAGGGTTAGGTTCCTGTGAGCCTCTGGTCACACATTTTTGTCAGTGAATAATACATAACCTTGTTTTATGTGTGTTTTTGTTTTAAAATACCTTATTTAATATATTTTGTTGATTCAGGCCAGGAGCACTATACCTCACACCTAATGAAGTTTATTTAACATACATTTTCTCTGTAAGGCATTCACAGCCTTCTTTTGCCTAGGAACATGAGATAGCACTTCAGCACTGTGCTTGCGTCCATTTTATTTTATTTTATTTTATTTTTAAAATAAATCAATTATTTTTTTAAGTTTATTTATTTTGAGAGAGCATGAGCATGAGTGGGGGAGGGTCAGAGAGCGAGGGAGAGACAGAATCCCAAGCAGGCTCCGTGCCATCAGTGCAGAGCCTGATGCAGGGCTTGATCTCACAAACTGCAAGATCATGACCTGAGCCGAAATCAAGAGTGGGACGCTTAACCGACTGAGTCACCTAGGTGCCCTGCTTGGGTCCATTTTAAATGGTGAAATCACCAAAAAAAATTGTGAAAAAAACATGATACTAAATAGACTGTGAAAACAATACTTGTTTATAGTATAAGAGCTGGAACGAGAAGGTACAGTGTCACCCTCAGCTGGGAACATTGGGCATATCTGGAAAAGACTACGAAATTGCTATAAGTATTGACTTTGGAGTTACAAATAAATTCTAGTGAGTAGAACAAATTCACAAATATGGAATTTGAATAATGAGGATTGACTGTATAATGTCCCAACTCTCCCACTTCCAAGTGTCTTCATTATAGATATATTGTAAATATGAAGAAAGGAAATATGAACAAAGATCCTTAATAAAGCATAATTTGTTAATGGGAAATAATTGGAAACACACAAATTCCATACATTGGGATGCTATGAAACTGTTAAAATTATGAAAGATTTATTATATATTGTGTTCTTAAAGTAAGCTAGAGAAAAGAAAATGTTAAGAATATCATGATAAAGAGAAAATACATTTATGTAAGAACTGTATTTATAAAATAAAATGCATGTAGGGGCGCCTGGGTGGCGCAGTCGGTTAAGCGTCCGACTTCAGCCAGGTCACGATCTCGCGGTCCGTGAGTTCGAGCCCCGCGTTGGGCTCTGGGCTGATGGCTCAGAGCCTGGAGCCTGTTTCCGATTCTGTGTCTCCCTCTCTCTCTGCCCCTCCCCCGTTCATGCTCTGTCTCTCTCTGTCCCAAAAATAAATAAACGTTGAAAAAAAAAAAATAATAAAATAAAATGCATGTATAAGTGGACCCACCCAGTTCAAACCTGTGTTGTTCAAGGGCCAGGTGGACACCAAAATTCTGGGGAATGAGATTAAAGGGATATATGTTATGCACTTCAGATTATGTGAATTTGTTGTAATGAGTATATAATCTTATACAAATCTACGTCTTTGCAAAATAAGTTTCTGTATGTTGCTCACTTTTATAAAAGAAACGCTTTGGAAATACTAACTCATACCAATTTTTGCCTATGCGAATTAGCAAAAAACTTCCTGTATGTCATAACTATCTCACTTAATCTCTGTAGACTTCATTCTCTTTACCTGTAAATCTAAGAATCATGAAAAAAAGATGCTATATTTAAAGGATATTTAAATATCAGTAAATAATTATTGAATATGTTATGTTAAAAAAATTGTTCTTTTTTAGAAAGATGCTAACCTAGATATGTTGAATTTGGCTACTAGTATCACACAGTTAAGCACCTATGAACAATGTTCTAGGCTGGGTAAATTATATTTATCTTGGGGTTATTTTAGCTTCGTACTGATTTAGGTAACTTTTGTGTCTCTATTTTAGGAAATCAGAAGTCAGGCCAGTTTAATAAGACATTGACCAAGATACTGATTTTCTAATTCCTGTTCTAGAAAGTTGTAGAAGAGGAAAAGCAGGAGCATGTGGAGAAGGTTAAAGAACTTTTGGGCTGGGTGTCTACCCTAGCAAGGAACACACAAAGCAAAGCTACCTCATCCCAGACCAAAGAATCGACGGACATTGAAAAAGCTATTTTAGAACAGCAGGTGAGTAGAAGAGCCATCTGTCTCTTAATAATATGTAAGAATGCGTTAGATGGAATAAAACAAATCACATATGGGCCATCCCAGGAATGATATTCTCAATAAATGTTAACTGCCTAACTTAAAGAAATTTAAGAAGTCATCCTATTTGTACTTTACCTTCTTAATCAACTTTATATAGCTTATTGGTAATAAAAATCTGACCTAAGCTAGGTTTTTCCCTAGGATTTTTAAAAAGTTATTTCAAATAATTTTGATTCTTTGATCTATTGGGTTCTGAGGCTATACTCTTTGTTTCTACCACCTAGGTTCTGGCAGAGGAACTGACAACCAAGAGGGAACAAGTCTCTGAGGCCATTAAAACGTCACAGATCTTCTTGGCCAAGCATGGTCATAAGTGAGTATTAAATGAGAAATTTTGGCACATGTAGGGGACTGAATCTACTTGGCTAAAACTTAAGGTCACAGGGAGACTGGAGAATTTAGGGCTGCAAGAGCCAGATTATGAAGAGCCTCATTGTTCATGCTGAAGAGTTTGCATTTTACCTTGTTGACTATGGGGAGGAGTCTCTTCTATATGATTGGATTTTGTTGATGAAGATTTCTAGAACAGTTTTACAGAGAATACATTCACAAAGTGGAGGCCCGAGACCAGTAAAGAGGCTGTTGTGATAATATGGGCGAGAAATGTTGAGGGTGGAGAAGGGCAAGAATTCAGAAGTTATTAAGGATGATGAACTTACAGGGTTTGGTGATGAATGAAGATTGTCAGATATAACTTCTAGGTTTCTGGCTTAGGTCTCTGAATGTATGGTGATGTCACTAACCAAGATAGGGAATACATGAGAAGGTGTGGATTGAGGGAGAAGGCAGCTTTATTCTTAGACATTATGAACCTGAAGAGCCCACAGGACATAAGAGTGGAAATACTTAGAATGTATTAGAAGGTACCTCATATGTTAATTTATGCCTTACATAGTTCCACTAAAGTTGTCCAATGGGAAGGTGTGTATGTAAATTTAGAATTAATGAGAGAAGTCTAAAGTGATGCAGATCTGAGTCATCAGCATAGTAGAAACCATGAATGGATTAGTTTACAAGGGTTCAAGGGCGTCTTGGTACTTTTCAGCCTGTAAAGGAAGCCTTATAGAAATAGAGGGAATATTATGAGTAATACTTTAGAACCTATGAGAGAATAGTGTTCCAAAAAGAAAGTGGTCAGAGGTCAAGAAAGACTGAGACTGAGATGTTTCTCTTGAATTTGGCAAGTTGGAAGTTTTTGATGACTGATGAAAAGTTGAGGCATGATGTCAGATTCAGTATGACGGGGAGTACATGAGGTGAGGAAGTTAGTGATAGCAAAATTAGACTACTCTTTCAAGAAGCTTAGCCATAGGAAATGGCGGTAATAATACAGTAAATAATTAGAGTAGAATATACAATCAAGAAAGACCTCTTCTTGAAAGATCAGAGGAACTTAGCTATGTTTATGGACTGAGTCTCAAGGACCAAAAGGGAGAAAGAGATTGAATAATAACAGGAGAGGGGTCCCAGAGTTATAGGAGAGGACACAATTCATCAGTGGGTAGAAAGTACAACCCTAGACCAGAGTCAAGACAGCTTTTCCTATGAGGTTTGAGGAAAAGGAGATTAGGAAAGGTGTGGATAGAGGTAAATATGTAAGGAGTGAAGCCAGAAGGTGAGTGAATTCGTGCCCAGTGGTCTGCAATTCTTTTTGAAATAGACTGAAAGGTTGTTTGCTGTGAGGATAGCTCCCTCACAGGGCAAAGGAATTGGGATTGACTGGGGCCTCCAAGAAGGTTGTCAGGAAGCTCTCAGGTCCACTAGAGGCTGGAAACCAGTAGGATCTCCTCCATAGGGTCTCCTCCCTCCCCCCACCCCGAGACACACACGACACACACACACACACACACACACACACACACACACACACACACACACACACACACACACACACAGAGGATATACTTAGCCTGCAGGCAGGAGCAGAGAAGTCCAGTGATTCTATTGATCTGGGGCAGGAGTTTAATCAGATTAGCAAGGACAGAGTGCAAGGCTAATAATGGGGAGCTAATAGAGACTATGGACTGTGGGGTCTGGACTACAAAAAGAAGATACTGAAGATCGTAGGGAGGAATGATAGATTAAGAAAAAAGTGGGAGAGTTAAGGAGAGCTTAGGAAATCTCAATAAATTGATGGGTAGTTGCAAAATTCACCAAATCCAAGATTGCGATTACCTCTAGGGAGAAAGGTGAAAGAACAGGGTTGGTGATAAATGTACATGGGACTTTGAATATATCCATAATGTCTTATTTCCATGAAAAAGATCTAAAGTAAATCTGGTACGATACTAAAACTTGGCAAAGGTGGATAGTTGGGTAATAGGTAAATGAGAGGTTATTTTCTCTTTTGTCTGTTTAAAATATTTTATTTTTAGAAGAGAACGTTTTTCCCTAAAAGAGCTTCAATGTTTCATCTTCTAGGCTCTCAGAAAAAGAGAAGGAACAAATATCTGAACAATTAAATGCCCTAAATAAGGCTTACCATGACCTTTGTGATGGTTCAGCAAACCAGCTTCAGCAACTTCAGAGCCAGTTGGCCCAACAGACAGAACAAAAGGTACATTTAGTTTCTCTCTCCAAATAGGAAAGGTACCTTTTGAATGGTATGAAAGCAGCTTTGCTGATTGAGAATCATATTCACTAGCTTTCCATGACCAATGTGACTTAATTTTTAACCTCACCATAGCAGCCATTTGTCTTGTGTTTCTTTACTGGGGTTCCATGATGTATTGGTCAGTCAAGAACACTAGAAGGCACTTATGGCCAACGCTGTAGACCTGATTTACAGTTTCTGTTTCTGCCATTTTATGGCAGACCGCAATTGAAGAGAATATAAATCCTATATTATATCTGATCACAGGGCAGCAAGATTACTCCTTCATGGCGTTGTCATTCAAAAGTTGACAGCCAGAAGTTCTGAATATTGGGAAGAAAAGGCCATGTACTTCTTCCTCCATATTTTTTTTCATAGCTACTAAATAAGTGAGAAATGTTCATTTTCCAAGCAAACTGGTGGATTGGTTGTACTGACTGAGACGCTGGTTCCCCTCACCCATGGTCATTCCATAGTGTGACATCTTTACCAGTTCCCACTCATGTTCCCTTCCCAGACCATAGGAAAATTGTCAAGTTCCTGCTGGTTGTCCTGAGTTCTTCCTGGATTTTTGTGTGTATATGTAAACTTACCATATTATATACATGTGTCTCTGGGATATATATGTGTTTGCCTGCTTATTTCCTATGTTGTGAAGCAATGGCCAAATTATGTGGGGCAGGTCAAAATTTAAGCTCATGTGGTTGTCAGATTTGGTCTTGATGATGCTCAAAATGATATTCAGACAAAACATGCTTTGACTCTGGTCCTTGGGTATGAAATTGGTGCATCAGGAGCTAGAGTTATAAAGATCACAAGACAGAACCAGCTATGATTTGTTTGAGAGTAGTTTTCCAGAAAGAATATGCTGGTTTAGCATCCTTATGTAAGGTAGCCCACTTCTAATGGCTTATTGCTTCACCATATAAGGGAGTATGTGAAAAGTTTTAACAATTGCTTGCTGAGAACACCCAGTTCTCATTTTGAAAGGTTAAAAAAGGGGGGGAAAAAGAAAGAAAGACAAGCTGCTGAGCACCACTACATTGAGCATGATGTGTCCCCTGTTACTGTTTGTGTGTTTCATGTGAAGTATTGTTCTGATTAACTGACATCCTTGCTTACAAGTTTCACTAACCCTTTGGAGTTTAAGCACAAATGCACAAAAGGGAAAAAGAGGACGACCTGTTTGGGGTTCTTTTTTACAAAAAAACAAACAGTCGCATGCTGGACGCTAACCCCAAGCTTACACTGTGTGTGCGATGCGGCTGAGCTGCTCCGTAAGGCTCTCTCTCTATCTGCCCAAGGCGTGCTGCGACTCTGGTAAGTAGAAGCCTTTTACGTTTCCTTTCCTCCTCTCCATCTGTCTTTCTCTGCTTGTTTAGGTCAGAATGCCCATGTTTGGTGGGACTGAACTGGATTTCTCTGGATTATTGCCCGGCTCGGTGCTTCTTGCCTGTCCTTCAATCCTGAGAGTATTGGAAGGAACAGCCTGTAGTCTTTTCTCTTTGTCTAGCAATTGGCTAGAATCCAGGTTTTTCTTCAATATCAGTATTTGAGGAATCTCACAGAAGAAATTAGAAGTTCTCAAAAGAATTTTTTCCTTTGTCATCTTGTCTGCTTCTGAACAGTCTTTACATGGATTTTATAAAAGGAATTTTTCATGTATCTCAAAGAGTCCTATGCTAGTGCGATTTTCCCTTCAGTCTCTATAGAATACCTGGTAAATGCATATAATGTACATTTGCGTCATACAAGTGGAACTACTTTCTAGGTTCAGAACACAGAAGGAGGATGGGGAACAACACATAATATTTTAAGTAGTGGTGAGAATTCTATGTGTTAGTCCATTATTTGAATAAATACAGTGAGATTAGGGATGTGAACCAAATGTGTTCCCTCATTTGCTCTCCATTCTTTGTCTCTTATACTGTGCAACTAATTGAATTTGAAATTCTCAGTGCATGCCTTTAAAATCTGGGGGCAAGTAGTTTAAAGATTTTAAGGATTTCCTTACTGTTTACCAATTTATTCATTAATTCAACAAATGTTTCTTGAACTGCCGGTACTGTTCTTAGACACTGAATGGGCAGGGTACCTGCTCTTACAGAGTTTACTCTCCCTGAGACAGAATGGAATGCATTATTTAGGAGGCAGGGAAGTGATTGGCAGTTGCTTCAACAACATCCTCCATGGATAAATCCTCCATGGATTAGTTCAAGAGTTAAACGAGGATCAGAAAGTAATACTGACTGAAGGGGGCAGACAAAATCATCTATAGGAAACAAAGATAATGAACATAAACAAGAAGAGGTAGAAAGTTGAAAGTAATAAAAGTAAGTGACAAAACACTTGAATGATTTAATCTTTTTTATTTTTTTAAGTTTAATTATTTTGAGACAGAGCAAGCATGAGCAGGGGCGGGGCAGAGAGAGTATCCCAAGCAGTCTCCACGTTGGAGTGTGGAGCCTGACACAGGGTTTGATCTCATGAACCATGAGATCATGACCTGAGCTGAAGTCAAGACTTGGACGCTTAACTGACTGAACCACCCAGGCGCCCGTTAAACGATTTAATTTCTGAATACCATCATTCTGTGATAAAAGGCTTTCAAACAGGAAGGAGCCATTTTTAGGCTTTTTGGGAAGGGTAATTTTGGCAATGTGTAGATTTTCCTGCTTTACTGGGCGTAGGACCTAACTCCTGAGTGTGATGCAGTCTACTGTGCCTTTCCTTCATGCTCTTCTGGGTCTGATAGAGGAGGCAATTTAATAGCATGAGACTTAGAGTCAGGCCTTGATTTGACTCTGAATCTCACTTGTTTTGTGACCTTGGACAAGTTACTTAATAACCTCGCTGTGCCTCATTTTCTCATCTGGAAACTAAAGATTAAAATAACTGTTTTCATAGGATTGTTGTGAGAAGTAAATATCAGTGCTCAATAAATATATTAAGTGCCCAACAAATTGTAGGTGTATCATGGAGGCTGTACTACCCATTTTAGCCTGGACCAGAAGAAAAGTTCCTAGTGGTTAGAGGCAAAGGTCCCCAGTCTGTTCCTTCCTTGACTTGCTACTTCTGATTCCCAGAACTAATTTAACCAAGAGCCATTGCCTTGGGAGATACTTACAGTGGCCACTGCATGAGACTGCCCCAGCTGTGGAACAGCTGCTTGAGTGGTACACGTTGGGCTGTTTACAGAGCTGCACACATGTCATGTGGCCATTGGGCTGCTTGACTCTTCTAATCCTGTGGATTGGTCCTGCCGAACTCATTAGCAGAGACATCCTACTTCAGGATCTTCTGCATAGGTTACAACACTGAGAAGCTGTTTTATAGGGTTGACTTTTCACTTTTGAGGAACTGGTAGATTTCTGGAAGAACCTTTGTGGTGATTTAGTCTTAGAGCTGACCTTTCACCTTCACCGCTTGCTACTTTGTAGAGCTTGTCACTCAGATATGCTTAATGCCAGCATCTGTCAAGTAATCTGTGAACTTCCAGCCACGTTCAACATTCTGCAGTTTAGAAAAACTCTTTTTTAGTATTAACGGTGCCAGGCTTCAGTGTTTCCTACACATTGGGGCTCATTCCAGGCTGGGTTTTTCTTGTGGTCAGAATTTGATAGACTATACTTCTTTGAAGGAATGCTTTCACCAGGCATGCTTCTCTGATTCAGTTTTCTTTTTCGTTTTCCTTTTAGGGCTGCAGAGCTGTTGCTGGGGTGATTGACCTAGGCACAGTGGAGATATTTCCAATCTTCAAAGCCATGCAAAAGGGCCTCATTGACCAAGACACAGGCCTTGTGCTCCTGGAATCCCAGGTTATCATCTCTGGCCTCATTGCCCCTGAGACCAGTGAAAAGCTCTCTCTGGAAGAGGGTCTAGCCAGAAACCTCATTAATCCCCAGGTGTACCAGCAGCTGTGGGAGCTACAGGATGCCCTGTCCTTAATAAGCAGGCTTACTGAGAGCAAAGGCCTTCCTTCCGTGGTGGAAGCAATTGAAAAGAAAATAATCAGTGAGAGAATTGGACTAAAAGTGTTGGAAGCTCACCTGGCAACTGGAGGTTTCAGTTACCCTCCTAACGAGGGCTGCGTCAACCTAGAGGAGGCTTTTCACCAAGGCCTTATTTCTGCAAGGCTTCACTCGGTGTTAGAGTCTTACTTGAAATCATCCAAGAATTTGATAGACCCCAACACAGCTGAGAAAATCAGTTTGCTAGATCTGACGCAGAGATGTATTGTCCACCAGGAATCAGGGTTGAAACTGCTCCCCGTCAAACAACTGGCAGGGGGAATGGTGAGCCTAAAATCAGGCCGGAAGGTTAGTGTTTTTCGTGCAGTTCAGGAAGGCCTAATAGATAGGCAGGTCACTGTCCGGCTGCTGGAAGCTCAGCTTTTTGCTGGTGGCATAGTAGATCCAAGAACAGGACATAGACTTACTGTAGAAGAGGCTGTAAGACATAATTTGATTGACCAAGATATGGCCTGTGCTATTCTCATAAGGCAGCTTCAGACAGGAGGCATCATAGACACCATCACTGGGCATAGGCTGACAATAGATGAAGCAGTGAGCAATGATCTAGTAGCTGCTAAGATTGCTCTTGTGATTCTGGAGTCCCTTTGGTCATTCATGGGGTTGCTGTGGCCTGAATCTGGAGAGATCCTCCCAATCACAGATGCCCTGGAACAAGGTATTGTGTCTACTGAACTAGCTCACAAAATCCTTAGTGGCCGACAACATATTAAAGCTCTGTTTCTGCCAGCAAGCACAGAGGTTTGGTCCTGGAGAAAAGCAGTAGAAGATGGTATGTTGGACAAAGATCTTGTCAATAACTTAAAATCCATTTGCATACCTGATGTGATGCCCCACATGCAATTAGCAGATTATTCAGAACGAAGCAAATTGAACATTAATCCTGGAGCAGTAGGTCTACCACACAGCAGGTGCCAAACTGAGGGCATAGTA